TAATGGCAAAACCCTACTCAGCCAAATTAGTGAAAACTGGTTTCTCAAAAAAGGAGCAATAATATATTGGCGGAGAAGGAGAAAACAACACCAGCAAACTCATTCCATTTACTAGTTAACCCTCAAACTGTCTTTGGGTGGAACAGTGTATATGTGTGTATATATATATATAAAAGAATGTAAAATTGATGGAAGAAAAATAATTAGTGGTAGTAGCATCCAAAAATTCTTGTTAGGGTAAACTACTTTTTCCCACCGAAGGTTAGCCTTAATGACACTTTTCCACCCAAAAAGTTTCAAAATTCCACTTTTTCACCCAAAGTTAATATTCCGTTACTACCCAAAATACATTTCACTTTTTCAGTTGATAGTTAACAAGTTACCATGAGTCAAGGTAAGAGGGATTTTATAAAGTGGAGGTTGGTGGATCGAATGTGGTGACCGATTGATTATTCGTAGTTGGAATCAATCGGAAATCAGCTAAAAACATGAACCCAAGCTTTGCAGTGATTGGTAATTGGCGAGAAATCAGGTGCCAAAGTGAAAAAAGTTTTATAGAGAAGAGATTGAAGGTTCAAATAGTAGTGACAAAGTGAATTTTTGCCATCAGAATCGGCCGACATCGACTTTAGGTAATAACGTAATATAAACTTTGCGTGAAAAAGTGATATTTTAAAACTTTTTAAGTAAAAAAAATATCATTAAGGCAAACCTTGGGTGGGAAAAAGTCGTTCACTCTTTCATAAAGTATCTTGTTATTGTTAATTGAGTTTAGTATTATTATTTAAGATTTATATACATAAATCTTAAATAATATTCCCTTGGTATGGTAATAAAAAATATTATATGATTACAAAGAAGACTTGCAGTAGTTGTTAATCACATTAAGTATCAATTCAAAGAAATATTAACGTAGGAGTAAATGCAAGTATGCAAGGAACGTATTTTCTTGACACGTGGTGATATGACTTAATAAACTGAAATGAAAGTACGGCCCCTTAAGTCTGAATCTAACTCAATTTCTATTTTCAGTCTTTTTCGAGTTTTTTTTTTTTTTTTTTTTTTTAACTTAATACTCACTTTTTTCCTAAAATTCAATGAACCGAAAAAGTTATATATATATATATATTTTTTTTAACTTAATACTCACTTTTTTCCTAAAATTCAATGAACCGAAAAAGTTATATATATATATATTTTTTTTAACTTAATACTCACTTTTTTCCTAAAATTCAATGAACCGAAAAAGTTATATATATATATATATATATTTTTTTTTTTTTTTTAACTTAATACTCACTTTTTTCCTAAAATTCAATGAACCGAAAAAGTTATATATATATATATATATATATATTTATTTTTTTTTATTTTTTATTTTTTTTTTACTTTTAGCTTAATACACTTTGTTTATATATTATATATAATTACATCCCTACCCATTTACATAATCTTTTTATACTCCAACATTTTTTACTTCAAAGTTTCTATATATTTTTTACATTTTTTTTTTTTATAACTCGAAGTGTTCAGACCAATTTGCACACATCTTAACTAATTTTCTAAGATTTTAAAATTGATTATCAAGTAAACTCTTTAGTGGTCATCCCTATTAACAGGTGTGAGGACTCAAATTCAAGTATTTATGAAATTTTTTTTTATTCTTTTACCATTAAGCCACTTAATAATGGTTTATTTTTCACATTTTTAAAGTTTGTGTTTTTATATTTGTCAATTTATTAGTCCTTGCATTTTTTAAACTAATAAAACTTTTATAAAACGTAAAAAAAAAATATATCATTCAAATTTAACTATTCAGATCTAATTAGTTTTTAAAACAATTAAATTCTATTTAGTTTTCAAATAATAAAAAAAAAAAACAAATACCACCTAAATAAACTGAAAATAAAAAAAAGGCATATATTGAAAAGGGAAATGGACAACAACAGCCAACATGTAACATCTAATTTCACATGAGGTTACATCTTCGTGGGCCAACACAGAACCCAAGCGTTTTATGTTCTCTAACGCTTACAATTAAAGAGATGGAAAAAGTCAAAATGGTTGGTGGTAAGTAAGTAGGATTTGACGACACAGCATGCAACGTGGCCAGAAGATTCTAATGTACGTTTTTATCATTAAAGGATATCTAGACATTGTCTTCCTTTTGTCTGTGTAATTAAATTTGAATCCATCTAGATGGTGTAAGAGAAACCAGCACTCAAAAATCACAATGTCCAGTGTATATAAATGGATAATTTAGCGGTAAATATTAAATGATGCCAATATTGTATTAAAAAAAAAAAAAAAAAAACTCTATAAACTTAACAAATTTAAGAAAATGTGAGCGTCAAGAAACATGTTTGATACTAAAACAAAACATAATCCCAGTGTTGTTAAGCATGTCTCCATCAAAACAATATGCATCATTCATTCCTCCAACCAATCCATGTTCATTACATCAATTAACACTATTTATATATTCAGCCAATGGCCCAGAACAGCTTATTAGCAACACAATAATTTTTTGTTTTGTTTTTTTTTTTTTTTTTAGTAATGTTACGCCCACGATCTAATCTCACAAGCTCAATGTGATAGCTAAGCTAGTAACTGTCATGTCAACTCCTACCACACGCAAGACACTAAATGACTTTAACTAAACACAAACGATCATTTCTTAAGGATGAACGACCGATCCTTCATTAGGAATGACTATTCATTATGAAGGAACAATCGTTTATTTATATGGAATAAAAAACAACAATTTCTTATTAATAGAACGACTATTATATATGAAGAAATAACAATTCCTTATGAATGAACAGTCGTTTGTCCCTAAAGAACAGTCATTTGTCTTTAAGGAATAATCGCTCTTATCTAAGAAACTACCGTTCGTGTTTAGTCAAAGTTATCTGTTGACGTGGTAATGCCAACTCTACTGGCACATTAGGATTATAAAAGAAAGTTGTGACATTGGGTTGTACACGTAATATTTTTGTTTTTTTATTTTTTATTATTATTTAGTGGGTTTTGAATAATTGCAACTATTAAATATACAAAGCACGAGTGAACATAAGTTAGTGCTTGGATATAAAAAAAGTATTGGGAAACATAGTCAATTGATGGAGATAAGCTACAAAATCCAGTTAAATAATGTTGTGAAATCAGAGTGTTAACTAGAAGGACTAAAGAAAAAAAGTAAACGACATGTTCCCACCCAACTTTTCATGAAATGGCCAGTTCTCACCCCTGATTTTATAAATTTAAGGTTCTCACCCTTAAATTAACAAAAAACCGTTTAATTTAACAGTCAAGGGTAAAATGGTCATTTGCTTTCTACTCTCTTCTTCCTCGCATCTCTTCTTCCTCACCATGCCAAGCAGCTCCTCTCTCAATGCCCAAAAATCCTTCAACTCCTCCCCAGCACAATCCACGCATTGTCTCTAAATTTCAAAGAGGGAAATTGTTTCAAAACTCAATTAAACAAATTCCAGCACAATCAAACTCAAATTTCCAAGCTGATCTGACTTTGTGGAGGCGGTGCAATTGAAGTCTTGGTGGCAGATCAACGACGGAAACAGGAGCGATTTGTTGCTTGTGGTTGGTTGGCGAACAAGGAAGGTGACGACTGCGATTTGGCATCGAAAAAGCGACAAAAACCACCAACATGACACCGCTAGGATTGATTGCCATCGCCGTCACTTCTTGCTTCGTTCTCGATGTCAGATTCTAGTAGGTTTAGCGTGGTCAACGCTGCCGCCGAAGCACAATAGCTTTGGTTGGTTTTTTTGGGGATTTTTGGTTGTTGGTTTGGGTTGTGGAGTTCCATTGTTGGCCGTGTTTTGGTGGGCGATTTGGTGATGGGTCATTTGCAGAGGTAAAAAAATAATTTATTTATTTATTTATTGAGGGTAATATGGTAATAGCTCTTCTATACTTGTGTTAGATCCTAAAAATTTTTAACGATGTTGGTTTTTGGGTTGGAATTGAAATTTATGAAATCAAGGGTGGAAAAAGAAACCTTGGGTGGGTACATGTCGTTTACTCAAGAGTGTAACACAAGCATACATTAAAGCCAAAAGAAAGTAAAGCATTATTAGTGGTTGAAAGTGGCACTCAACCACCAAAGTTTAGCGGCCAAAAGGGAGCCCCACCCCCAGGTCAACCGAACCACCACCATCACTTTTCATTATTAGTGTTTAAATTAAAAATTAATTAAAGCTTTGAAAGATGCCAAAGAGTGGATCAAGTAACTGCTTTAATGCATAATAAAGAATTACTTGGGATTTTATTCGAACAAAAAGCAACAGCGACAGCGACAGCGACAGCGACATCGCTCATGTTAAATACTTAAAAAGAACACTTAAGACCTAACCCCGCCCGTAAAAAAAGGGAATAAAAGATGTAATGATGCTTTCATTGTTGTTATCTTTCTTTTTTATCAAGCTCCCTTTTCTATTATAGCTCTATTCTACTAACGACGGCTAATAATGACTTACCACTAGAATTCCAACCACTCTTTTATTCAAGTTTAAAAATGGTTAGAAAAAACAGATCTAAAAATGAAGATAAAAACACGAGAAATGAATGTGGGATGCAAAGTAGTAAAGTAGACAAAGACTTGCGCTCTTCCAGTCCGTCAGATGAAAGCAAAAACCAAACTTAAACCCCGCGCGCGCAAAATCCGCCAACTAACCAATATCACTGTGTATCTGTATCACCCATTTCTCCAACTGTTCAACGTCTTTACTCTCGTACGTACGTGTCGCTCGTGTCAGACCCAGGCCGACATTGTCCCCCCTCTTATAGTATCATCCCTCTCTTTGCTCTGCTGTTATATCACTTTCTCACTTTTTTCTAATTTCCTGCATTTTACTTTACTAGCTTACCAAACACACACACACACACACACAGACACACACTCTCTCTTTATAGCTCTTCTTCTCATCCTCCGAGTTTTGTTTGTGTTGTCGCCGAGATCGGAGCGTTTCGCATTGTGAATTAATTGTGATTAGCTGCTAAATTTAAAGTTCTTTTGCACTTGCTCATCTTCCTCTGGTTCATGCAATGTGAAGTTCTGGTGATGCAGTAGGGTCTAAGGTGAGCTGTGTTTTAGCTGTTTGCTTTTGTTGGTTGATACATTGTGTTTGCTTGATTTCTGAACACGAAAAGAGCTGAATCTGTGGATTATACATACATGCATTGGTGGTTGTAGGTTATTTCAATGAAATTCTGGTTAATTGAATGTAATGCATTTTGCTGTAAGCAAAATTTTCTTAATTTTGGTGATGTACTTTGAGAAATTGAATGTTCTGCCAAGACACAGAGAACAATTTAACACTGAAGTTTCTATTTTAAACTATTTTCCTATTTTCGTTTTTGAAATAAAAAAGCTTGGAAAATCTCGAATCTTTCCTAAGAAAATTAGCCTCGTTTGATTTGTTAACCAAAAATAATATTTAAAAACTTAATTTATGTTCCAAATATTCATGCCGTTTGCCTAATTTTTGTTCTTGTTTTTGTTGTTGTCGATTTTACACTAATTTTTGGATTTATATGTAAAAACTGTGTCTGTAATCATTTCAATCAAAGACATTTTCTTAAAATTTCTTTTATCCTTGACTTTTAAAAATCAAATAAATTATAAATTCTATATCAAACATAAATTATATAGGGAAAATTCATTTTCAGGATGTGGCTTACAGAAAAAATGTCGCCAAACAAATTATTGGAACTTGAGAAAACCAAATCCATATTCCATTATCATTTTCCAAAACATGTTTGTAAAGTAGATGGTTTTGAGTCAAAACAGATATGACTGAACACAAAGCAATTTAATTGATGTTACAATAACTTGGTTTTTATAGGAACTTATAGCAGACAAGTAGTTCTTCCCAATGATTCTTTCTGTGTAAATTTTTTATAAGCATCTTTGGCCGTCTTAAGTGATGTAGGGTTGAATTGATCAAGTATCTTCTTCAAAGGCCTTTAAAGTATTCAAGCTCCTGGAGAAAATATGGACAACAAGACGTGGATTTGGAGGAAAAAATCTAGTGAGAAGCCCGTTCTAGCAAACGACAAGTTAGATCTTTCTGTGAAAGGAAATGAACAAGAGGTAAACTAAGAACTTAGTTTTTACTTCATTCTTATATGTTAAAACTATCATTAAACTCTTATATACATATTCTCATGACAGCAATAGGGACATTGTACATGCATATGTCATTGTAAGAAAATATTTGTGTCGTTTCCTAATACTGAATGTAGCATCAGTTTACTGTGAATATTTTGTTATAATCAGATTACTTCTTAGTTGTATTAATTTAACGTTACAAGCAGGGCTACACTAGATGCCTTCTTGCAGAGTTATCATTTGCGTACTGCCATGATGTAATTCATTATCAGAGTGCAACCTAACCTAAGTAGTAAAGCTCCTTAACCTTGGTATCAGAGGCCCAGGGTTAAAACCTTTCTTCACACTATAACATATAACTACTAACAGAGTCTAATATACAATTGAAACAAGAGTGGTGGAAGAGGTGTACATACATAGTGTAATATACTAAAAAAATGTGTTTCCAAGTATCTAGTGACAGTAGCATATGAGGTTGAACTACGCAACTCTAAATTGCCTTTTGTTGTAAAGATTTTTGGGCTTAGCAACCATCTTTAGGGAGAAAATAAGTGTCCTTTGAGGTCAAAGTTTGTGGAGTGAAACACCAAATCGTGATATCGAAATTTGATATACTCCATGTTCGTGAAATCATGAATATTAGATACAACTTCCACACCTTGCTGCAGGAATGCCTCACCTTAACTAGTTATGGAGAGTGACAACCCATACCCTGCTACCCAATATATGATGCTTTAAGTTAAGCTCACTGATAGTGATAGTTTAAAATGATGTGCAATGTGAAAAGGTACATAAATATCAGATGATTATAGGCCTTTATAATATTAAAGGGAGGTCTAGGCCTGATTTCTTAAAAGAGTAACTATAACCATACATCTCTTTTAGGGAATATGTTTATGAGGTTCTCTGAGTTTGTTTAATGTTTATGGGTAAATTTTCATGGGGATTCACTGTACATTGAAGTATATTATAATCTTGATTTCAGATACAGATACTTTTGACTGATAAAGCACAATTAGAGAATGATGTGAAAAGCTTAAACGAGAAGCTTTCTTCTATCCTTGCTGAGTGTAATGCCAAAGATGATCTAGTGAAGAAACATGCAAAGATAGCACAGGAAGCAACCGAAGGTAAATCAACGAATTCCTCTTTTTACTTGTATGAATTATTTTACAAATCTAAGTATTCTTCTAAGGTTTTGGTTTTAAATTCAAATGGTAACTTTATTATGCTATTTCTGTTAATATTCTTATTTAGCTGCTACATTTATCTTTAATTTATATATAGGCCAGAAAAAGGCTGAAGCTGAAGCAATGTTTGTAAAGCAAGAACTAGATGAAGCTTCACAGCAGAGATGTGCTGCTGAAGAAAGAATAATTCATTTGGATGCTGCCCTCAAGGAATGTATGGAGCAGCTACATTTTGTTCGACAAGAGCAGGAGCAAAGGATTCATGATGCAGTGATGAAGGCATCTAGAGAATTTGAAAAATCCCAGATGATTTCAGAGGAGAAGTTGGCAGAGACCAGTAAAAGGCTTTCAAAACTAGGTGTTGAGAATACTCATGTTACCAAGGCTCTCCTAGCAAAGGAAAAGATGGTAGACGACTTAACTAGACAAAAGAATCAATTAGAAGCTGAATTTAATGCATTAATTACTAGATTTGATTCCACAGAAAAAGCAAATGCTTCTCTGAAATATGAAGTTCGAGTGCTTGAGAAGGAGCTGGAGATCCGGAATGAGGAGAGAGAATTTAATCACCGAACTGCTGATGCATCACACAAGCAACACTTAGAGAATGTGAAGAAAATTGCCAAGTTAGAATCAGAATGTCAGAGGCTACGTCTCCTGGTAAGGAAGCGGTTGCCAGGGCCTGCTGCACTGGCAAAAATGAAAAATGAAGTAGAAATGCTGGGGAAGGAGTCAAATGAAACAAGACGGAAGAGTTTAAATTCTAGTCCTCTTGGTTCAATGGTTGGCTCTGCAGTTGACAACTCTCCTGACTCTCCCAGCAAACGGATTTATTATCTGACTGAGCAGTTATGTGCTATGGAAGAAGAAAATAAGACTCTCAAGGATGTTATTCATAAAAAAGCAAATGAACTCCAATTTTCAAGAACAATGTATGCCCGTGCAGCTTTGAAATTATCAGAGGTTGAGTCACAGCTTGAAGAATTATCAAAAGGTCAGAAAATCATGGAGCCAACCAGGAACAGTGCTATCCCATATGAATTCTCTCTGGCTTCAATGTCAGACATTGGTAGTGAAGATAAAGTCAGTTGTGCTGAATCACGGGCTTCAACTTTGATCTCAGAATTGGAACACTTCAGAATACAGAGGGGGTCGCCATCGTGCAAAACTGTTGGAGCTTCTGACATAAATCTGATGGATGATTTTGTTGAAATGGAAAAATTGGCTATAGTCTCTTTTGATAAGCCATCAGGGAGTTCTCATGTTTCTCCAGATGAAGCTAATGCAATTGTTGGCCCTTTTGAATCTGAGTCTAGGGGGAATTTCTCAGAGGTCGTGAGTAGGGAGATTGTTCAGAATTCTGACTGTCTGTCTAACATTGGTGTGCCAAATCAGGAAAACAGATCCAGTGATATTCTGGTCGCAAAAGTTCCTGGTTCACTTTGGGTTCATGAAATATTGAAGTTGATCTTAGAGCAAAACCGTGTCACACACAGAAACACTTCTGAGATACTTGATGATATTAGAGTAGCTTTGACATACATAAATCATCCAAAAATCAGTGAATCAGTTGATGCCAAGGAGAGCACGTATCATCCTGATACATCAAGTTCACCAAATTTTTGTTCAGCAACATACTTTAATATCTCAAAGGAAGAGAAGACAGACCAGCAGTTATACTCTGATCTGAATGAATCAATATGCAAAGTAGCTGAGCTCATTGAAGGCATCTTAGATACATTGTCCAAGAAAGATGGAAGTCTTCTCTCATATAAAAATTCAGAAACACCTTCTGGCTACACTGTTCGTGTTTTCCAATGGAAAACTTCTGAGCTTAGTGGTGTTTTACAGCAATTTGTTCATGCCTGTTATAATTTATTGAACAAAAAGACCGACTTCAACAAATTTGCCAAAGAGTTAAGTACTGCTTTGGACTGGATAATGAACTATTGCTTTTCCCTTCAAGATGTTTCCAGCATGAGGGATGCTATAAAGAAGCATTTGGGTTGGGATGAATCAAGGAGTGAAAATGAAGTCGAATTTGGAATGATTAGTCAGTTTGCAGAAGCAGATAGACTACATCTTCCCAGAGAAAACTTGTCATCCTTGTCAATGTTTGCTGCTTCAAATAGCCATAACAACTTTTTCCAAAAGGAAGAATTTCAGTCTGATATGAGAGAAGAAAATAAAATATTAAGAAATGATTTCATCAATGCAGAAGTCGCAAAGAAAGATGTTATAGGGAGTATCCTGTCAGCTGATAAGAATCATCCATTAACGAATCAACTTCAGGAATCAGAGAAAATCATTTCAAACCTGCAAAATGAGTTAGGAACTTTTAGAAAATCAAAGGACGTGATTCAGGATCAAGTTAAGAATCACAAGTTGATTAATGAAGGTCTTGATACACAACTTTCAGTGGCCAGAGTTGAATTGAATGAGGCTCGCCAAAAATTTTCATCACTAGAAGCAGAGCTGGAGAATAAAAGTAAAAGCTGTGAAGAACTGGAGACCACATGTCTTGAACTCCAACTTCAACTTGAGAGGTACTAATAGTTCTTACTTTCACTCTAGTAAAATCAATGAATATTAGCAATTTAGTTATTTTCCCTGCATTATTGAGGGACCTTAATTTTCTTTCTGATATATTTATCTTCAGTGTGACAAAGAATGAATTACAGCACAAAGAACACAAGCAGGATGAAAAGAAAATTCGAACTGTAAGTTCCTGTCACTTATCTTACATTTTTGGAGTTAAATTTCAGTGCGTAGTATTGTATTCTGGAAACTTTGAAGATGATTAAATTATTTTACTATGCTACATGTAATTTCCTTGACTCTGAATCTGAAATTTTCTGTTGAAAATTGTGCTTAATTCCCTCCTTTATTATGATTGGCATGAATGTCTTTGAGTTATTGATACGTACACCTGCAAACAAACTAAAACCACAACCAAATAGCAATAGTTCTCACACAAATCACCCACTCACTGCCAATCCACAACCAGAAAACACAAGAACAGAAACAGATAAAAACTCAGCACAATTTGTATTTGTCTGATAGCTTGAATGAAACAGATATGATATGTAATGATTGGAAAGTAACCCAAAACCCTGGCGTTTTGAGGAGCCAGGTACCTCCACTGTTTTTATCAATGCCAAAAAGATGATCCTGCTGCTAGACCCTCTGTGCTTATATACAGTTCCCCTTTCCACAATTACCCTTACACAATTCATATTCTCAAAACAGACTCTCATCCATGACACCTGTACCTTGTGGACCCTACTCCCTTAACAACCTTCCTAATGTCTATTATGCCCCTTACGGTTGTAAACCTTATGTATTGCTGGTTTATCAGTTATATATATAACTGTGCCTATTTTAACAAATTAAGCATATTTTAGATACGTTGAGGATATTTGTCAGTTTACATTGACAAGAAGAAAGAAGCTTTTTGGGAGTTCATTAATCAAATATCTATGTACTACACAAATGTAGAAAATGTATCTGACAATATCTTTATCTTCTTTCTGAGAAAAATAACTTCCCTTTAGCTGGACCGATATCAAAATGAACGGGTGTGAATAGATAAATCCTCACACAGACTCCTTTTCAGAAAATTATTCACCTGATTAGTGTTGTATCTTTTGTCAAACTATGCTCATTTTTCTTGGTCTTAATGAAGCTTTGTTTATAGAAAACCTATTTAGGGAAAAATAAGTGTGAGACTCTAAAATGGCAATGAGGTGATTCACTTAAATGTAATTTCTCTACAACGCAAATATCACTAAGAAGAATTGCAAATCAATGCTGATTGGTTGGTATGCTGTAAATCAAGGAAACATGGGGTTAATTTATGTCATGAAAAAAAGAAAAGAAAATTAGCCAGAGAAACTGTGTTCAAAAGTGCATTCATTTAGGTTTGAAGTTATAGGAAAGTACTACTTTTTATTAGAATTTTCATATCTTTGATTCTAAGGGATTTTATTACTATTTACTCTATTGATTTAAGGAATGGTTATCATGGTAGGACTGGGAGATTACAGCTGCTTCTGAAAAGTTGGCGGAGTGTCAAGAGACTATTCTAAACCTAGGGAAGCAATTGAAAGCATTGGCTTCTCCAAGGGAAGCAGCCCTTTTTGACAAGGTCATCTCTACCCCAACGGACACAATTACTAACGCTACCGAAAATAACACTGCCATCTCTACCCCAACAGACACAATTACTATCCCTACCGAAAATGACACCGCCACCGACACCGACACCAACACCAACACCACAACCCTTTCAAAGAAGAAGCTCACTACCCAAAGGTCATCTCTGCTAGATCGGATGATAGCTGAAGATAAGGATGTGAACTCTCCGAAGACCAAAGAAGGTGACGGCAATTACAGTTCTATGTTTGTAGTAGAACCATTAGAAAAGATCCTCGCTTCAAATGAAAGTAAACAAGAGAATGAGGATTCTGTACGTAATTCCTTGGTGATTGTACCCAGCAGAAAACAAAGTGGTGCAAGTTTGTGGAAAAGGCTGTTTCGGAGAAAAAAGAACGTTAACATCAAGAAAATGCCACTTCCATTTGCCCCGCAAACATAAGCAATGACATTGGCAGAGGCTTGGTGCTCAGGAATTGTTGTGATGGCAGTTTTAATTCGGTTTGTTGCACAAGGGATTAAACTTTGGCTTGTATTAGTTGTCTAGGGAGAGAGAGATTGCATGGTGTTGTGAATTATATTAGTGTGTATATATATAGCTGAAAGCTAGATAGCCTAGAATTTATTAATGAAAAAAAAAATACAAAAACAAAATAAATAAATAAAAGAAATTTGATTTCACCTGCGATCCCATTACATTTCACTTTTTAGTTGAAAGAGGATGTTCTCGTTAACTTTCTTTTATAAATACGATGTGATAACTCACAATTGATCATACAAAAACCATTATTGGAAAGACAGAACCAATTGAGAGATACCACGTCGCATTTGTGAAAGAAAGTTAATGAAAAGAGTATGTAAGCATAATATTACCCAAAAATTAAAAGTGAATTTAACATTGGAATGAAAACCTTTCCTTTATAAAACAAGAGACTCAAAAGATTTTGTAAATAGGTATCTAACATAAATAGTTTAATGATATGATCTTAAGGGTGCGTTTGGTTTATGGATTGTTGTAATACCTTAAAACATATATTACCGTGTATATAGATTACTGGTAAAGATAACTGTGTATAAATTATTATTGTGTTTGGTTTGTCATAGTTGTATAAATGATTAAGGTGTTTGGTTGACGGTAATTATATATTATTGATATATTATTTTAATAAAATGCCCTTATGTATGTAAGATTACTAGGTATCAATTATAAATTTGTTTGGTTGAAAAGTGTAAAATTCCAATTAAACAACTCATCCTTGGACCTGGGCACAGTATTTATCCAAATTATAGCTAAGTTACAAAATGAAAATGTAAATTATAATAATAAATTGATTTTGTTTTGGCAACTGGTATTTTCCAGAAAAATGAAAACCATTGCAAAGGCAGAAAATCCTGCAATCACCGCATAGTGACAGGCCAATCATCACCCAATACACACCTACCACTTTTGGGTGGTTCTACCATATGGCCTAAGCAACGCCCACTCCTCCAAACAGAAGCAAGCAACCTGCTTGCTTCCCCCCCTACACCTAGCAACACACCAACACCATGCACTTGCATAAATCAACACTCACCCCCTCGTCAGACCTACCCCCACACCAAATCTAGCATGCCAACTATGCACAAAACTTAAGCCCATGCTCGTTCAACAAGAAAAAAAATGGAAACAAAAAAACCAACAACATCAGCCTCATCTAATTAATACAACGAAAACAACACTGCACAAAAATTGCTCTGCCACCTGCAAAAAATTACACCAGTGAACCCTCACAACAAATACACTAGTGAACACACTTCCAATACACACCACCACCTGCAAAAAAACACCAACAATCCCATGCTCTCCCAACTGCAACTTTCCCATTCAAATGGAAGCAACCCTGCCAAGATTCCCAAATACACACAAAATATACCTGTATCACACATTCACACCCCACTTCAACCCATAGTCAAACTAATCACACATCAACATGACATTACATGAGGTTCATGAACCATAAAATTCACCCAGACATCAGGTTGATGCAAATGAAAATGTTAGGTTAATAGAAAATCATAAGTTTTTAGAACGTACATGTTATTTGCAACTTTGAATTCAAAACAACCCGACTGACAGGTTTTGGGTTGTATTATAATGAAATTAATTAGTCTATTTGTTAACGTTTTAAATAATAGTACAACACCGTTACACATCTCTCAATTCTGTCAAAGTCTAATTGCTAATTGATCCCGACCTCCTTGGGTGCAAATAGTCCTGTAAATGGCAGTGCAGAAGACATGTTAAAGACTGTACAATAACTGTCCTGTATATCCCATACGTAACCAATTGACAACACAAATGTTATAAACAACTTACTCTATGTGACGTCCAACTGTACTTTGTCATGGAAGGATTGAAATTCATCCCTACCGAACCAGTTCTCCTTCACATGTGTTAAGAAAAGTAGAATAAAGGAGTTAGAAAATAAATTAAAAAACCAATTGCATGTGTACTTTGCACATTTCAGTAAACAAATGTTAGTATTTTCCCAATGTTGTTGTACTCACAAAGTAAGGGTACCCTTCAATTACAGAAAAACATTATGGGGTTGCTAATAAGAGCTTGAAATTATATATTTTGTTAGTGATTTAATTGGATTATTTGTGGAAAAAGGTGTTTAATTCGTGGAATTTGAATTAATTCTTTCATAAATACATTTTATGGGATCAGGGATGTATTTTGAGTATTTTCAGGTTCAAATCGATATTTGAAGGAAAAAGAATGATGTCGATGGAATTCATGACAAGTAGGAACAAACGGTGCAAGAATTGGAGTTGAAACGAGAAAGCTGTGACGCTTCGAATATGCAACGTAAAATCTGGAAATCCTTCAAGATGAACATGCTTCGATATTTCTGTCATAACTTGAGCTATAGAAATCAGAATTCGACGATTCTTATGGCGTTGGAAAGATTATTCAGAGAGCTACAAAGTTTGTGTTGATTAGTTTACCAAATTCTAGAGATCACGGAACGAACGATCATCACAACGACTGTTTCTTATCGCCGCAGCGATGTGTCACGGGCCTGTTTAGGTTATTGCATTCTCTTAGTCCGAATCTGAATGGGTTAAGCATTTAATTCTTTCCTAAGCAACCTCCAAACCCTAGCACTTTAAATAAGGGTCTTTAAGTAGTTTTTAAGGGATTAGAGAGAAGGAGAAATGACAGCTACTATTTTGGAGATCGAAATTCTTACAGTTCTCGTTCGCCAATTAGAGAAGTTTTTATATTTTTCTTTCTTAAACTCATGTTATTGAATACAATGGTTGTTTTTATTACTGCAATTATGAACTAAATCCCTTTTCTAGAGCGAAAGATGTAGCCCAATTTATGAATATGTGTTGACGTTATTGTTGTTGATTTTTAATTGAGCATTAATTCTTAGTTTTATTATTGTGTGTAATGCTTTCAGTTCTTATGGATCCGAGAGTTGAATGATATCATGGGTTGGGTTGAGATCGAGAGATGAAACCTGATTAGTCTAAGGTAATAAAACCATAGATTGAGCGAACGCTAGAAATAGGTTACCGCGATTTATGAGGCTCTAGTAAATTCCATAGAACGTAATGATTTCTTAGCTCCTAAATCCAACTTAGAGATATTTTGGGTTGTTGCTTAAGGGTTAATTCGCTAATTGTTCGAGAGAAAGTTAGTGAAATATTAGGGAGTTTGGCCTTTAGAATAAGCTTAATTAAGTTAGCAATAAATGTCAATGCATAGGATTAAATTGGTGTGAAATCTGTGCCCTGGGTTTAGTCATATTGGTCTATTTACCAAATTATTCATAAAATTCTGCTTTTGTTTAGTTTTTAATTTGTTATCTTTTTCATTAAATTCATTCTTAAAATTATGTTTCATCAAATAGTAACAAAATAGACTAGTTTGGTACTTCGTAGGTAGTTCCCTTGGGATTCAACACTCGTTTACTCGAGCTTTATTACTTGCGCGATTTCGTATACTTGCGAATAGCATGTCAGTTGCTTCCACGAACTTCAATATATAGTAAAGGACAAAATACCCGCAGTCCGTTTGGTTTCTCTGCTGGGGAACCTGCATTCAATTGGAGTCATTAACTTAGTCAACATACGGTTATATGGTAATACATAACCGAAATTTCAGTTTAGTTTAAGGCCATAATAATGACCTTCGGCAATAGGAGAGGTATTTCAACAAGCTTGTCTATCTTCTTTGTCATTTTTTGGTTTTTATATACATCGCGAACAAACCAGTCAAGCAAGTTGGGAAATGTAATCGCTTAAAACAACTCAAACTGCTTAACTGTGGATAGACATGGATCTGGACCAAAAAGAGGTTTAGGTTTTAGGAGATCTTACTTTCTTATCAAGGGTTCAAACCTCATAGGGTCTGTTGATCTAAGGGAATCCAGCAATAACATGTAGCTGGTGTTGGGTTCTGAACACGTTTTTCCCCCAAAGTTGCATGTGATCAGTAGACGCCAATGACCCCTACCCTTATAGAAACACAATGTGTTAGCATCCTCTAAATACATAAGTCACAAGGCAACAACATGTAAATACAGTGCACATTAACTAACCAGAGTACAATGGGAATGAATACATATTTCTTCTACAGTATATCCTCCTTTTGAACCCATCTCAGCACCTTCCGCCACATGGAATCAAGGCATTTGAAATCTGACATGTTAACATATACCCAACCTTTCCCCAATTTCCTGTCATAACCCAATGTATAAACTCATGTAAAAAAGTGCATCAGGTCAACAAGTTTCAGATGAAGAAGAGAGGCATACCCCAAGTGTTGGTCGAACATACTACTGCTCAACATTTCATTCTCTCCATTGTTGGCAATGCGCTGACTCACATGTCATGGAGGTTTAACACCTATTAAGCAAATACAAGGTATTAACACTTCAGCTGCAATTTAATAGGCAATTTAATAATCTAAGTTACATGTACCGTTACCTTCATAAGTTCTCTCAGTGCATACTAAGCATCTGACTTTTGCAACTCCATCCATCCCCTAGGGGGAGTCTTTGCTCGCGTAAACAGTGTTGTTGCAATTCCCCTTGAAATTGTACAAAAAACAACGCAATTAGACAATTTTAGTTCTTCTTGATAGGTGTTATGAAATAATAGTCTCTAGTCATTTTTATTATACCTTGCATCTGTTAAATAACTCTTGGTGCACAAGACTATGCGTTATCATTAATAAAGTAGTGACAACATGAATATGAGATACTTAACTTCATTAATGTCTATCACTCATGAACACCATTCCATACATTAACTTAGATAAGCTAGGTTTACAAAAACAGGTTAGTTACATGGCAAAATATACCACTGCAAGGTACGGTTAAGTGCATAGACAATGCATTACCACGGGTAAGCTAATTGGAAATATGGTAGTTTTTGGCTACATTGAGGGGGATAACACTAACTTAGACAACCCAGTTCGATAAAATAACACATCATTGCACAAATCAAAATAAGCTAACTTTAATTTAATCTAAATGATCAAACGATAAATAATACACATTACTTTCAGATAGCTGCTTCCTCACATACTCCTACCTAATATCCATCGGCAGCCCTGAGAAAAACTCCATTTTATGGGGTTCCTTGGCGATTGCCTTGCCAACCTCCAGATCTGATCCAATGTAAATCCATCCAATTCGAAAATAACATTGAACAACATCCCCCTCATATCCTTCTCCAAAGACTCTCGTTTGAAATACGAGGCAATGTCCTTCATTTCTTCACGAGATCCTTGAACATCTTTGCCAAACATGCTCATTTGCTCCATGAAACTGTCTAGGCTCACCCTTGCCTTCCTCTTGCTACTGTGGACTACCCTTCTACTGTAGCTAGTAGTGGCTGTTTGGCATGTACACGTAACCATATCTTCCTTCACCAGGACATTACTATGGCCTTCCACCTCTACCTCGACATTGACATCCATGTCAATGTCATGGATGTCAGTGGTAACTTTCTCTAATTCCTCAACCGCATTGGCGGGGGTCTCAGCATTCATGCCAGTTGCGCAGTCTTTCCCGAAAGCAAACACTAACTTGTCATAGTGGGGAAATGATTTGTGATGCAACCCTTTTGCTTCAGGGTGACTCTGCAAAGAATAAATAATAAACTTGGTCAAAAAGATGTAAATAAGGTAATCAAAAGCATTGCATGTCTAAACTTCAATTGAAAGCATGTAATTATATGGGTTGCAACCATGGACCACTTACCTTAACCCAGTCGTCGAAGACATCCAATGACGCAATGATGCACTTCTCCTGGTCATTCCAGCCAAATCCACTGTCATGTTCTACCATGTCATTAATGGCACTGTATTGGCACATCAACAACTTATACTTGGACTCTATGTGTGGGTAAGCCTTCAACCCATGTCTAGGTAACCTTTAAGCCATCATTTTCTTGAGCTGATCATAAAAGCCAACTTTAAATTGCCCATTTTCAGCCCTCCAGTGGACGCTCTCTCTCAGTTTCACAAGGCAGTCAACCAGATTGGAGTCCTCAACTTTTGTCCACTACCTTTTGCTCTTACCAGCCTTGGCTTTGTCCTTCCCTTGTCGGGTGATGTCTGGCTCAAACATGGACAAGCTCTTATCGCCATTTTTGGTTCCTGATGTTGACCTATCCATCTTGCAGTTAGAAGTAGATGACAGCGTTAGCCATTTTGACAAAACATAGTTGAACAAGCACAAAAGGGATAGCATGGAAAGGGTGGGATGTATAAAAAATCGACAACATTATAAAATATGTGATACAATAAGTAATAAACTACAATTTAGCATCCAACCAGGCATCAAACAGTTTCACATAAACATAATGAATGTAGTAGCTGCAGACATAAAGTTTCAAAAAAGCACATCGCAAATGTTTTGCACCAAATTACATCAAACTCGACTTACAATGACAAAACAGTACATATTTCTCCCTATATTAACACTACACTATACATTGTGCGATGCCATCCAACTATTGAACATTTCATGCGCTAAATTATCTCTCCACCCAGTCCAAGCAGGGCTTGTCTCAACGTGCCATATTACGTCACCCTCAGCATTGTTGTCATCCTGAGTATTTGCAACTTCACTCTCAATTGGGTTTACTGTCATTTCACTCCTAATGAAATTATGAAGCATGCAATAGGCAAAAATTATTCGACATTGGGTTTTGATGGGGTAGAAGGATGCATCTCTCAAAAATACCCCATCTCTTCTTCAGTATGTCAAAACACCTCTCGATACAATTCCTTGCTTGAGAGTGTTTCATGTTGAAATATTCTTGGGCTATTCTCGATTGTTGGCCTTGCCTCAAGTCGTTCAAATGGTATCATTGGCCCCTGTATGGGGCCAATAACCCTTCTCCATTGGTGTATCAAGCATTACATAAGTAATAACACCCTATCATGAAAAAACACAATGTCAAAATCCATATAACCATATACTTTGTCACTCTATCCTAACATGTACAAGTAAATTTGATTAAGGATGTACCTTGAGGGACCTTTAATCCATTTCTCCTACTAATGGCATCCCTTAGCACTCCACCATCTGCAGTTGAACCTTCCCACGAGGGGAGAACATTAATAAATTGCATGTCGGATGTGTAAACACCAAGCATATTAGTTGCAATTTCACCCTTTCGCGTTCGATACCTCGGTTTATCACCAGCATCAGCGTGAGCGCTGATGTATGTTCCGCCCAGTGCACCTAAGCAATTCCAACAATACAAAAAATAAGAAAACATTGAGGTAGTTACTAGATAATGTCCAAATTAGAATTTTAAGTCAATTATATGTGGTCGTTAGGAAAATATCTACCTTGAACCATCTCCAACGTTCATCAATTGAATTCTCGGGTATTGGCTCCAGTTTCTTAAGTAAAAAGAAATGCAATTTCAACACAACTGTTAACACAACGTGAAACTATCTTACTTGATCTAGATATTTGTCCCTTCATAACCCTGTACTTGACATGGTGAGCACGGATGTGAAGGAAATTACCTACCATTTCCTCTATACTGGTATATCTAGTTAAAACTAACCCCCCATGACTTTCTAGTAAATTACATAACTTAGAAAACACTTTCCTATCCATTCTACAGTTCTCGAGACAAACTCCATCAATCTCGAAAATCATAGTCTATAATTCCTAATCTCACATCTACCCATTAACTCACCCATGTAGGTTATGGAACACCTAGATCGATTCCTATTCCTAAGGTGCAATGCTAACCCTAGAAAGAGAAACATGGTGAACATGTTTTTCAGCATGTCCAAGTGCATACACAAAACTGCCACCAAACGCATCTTCTAGCTTAGTGTTAAACGAGGCATGGTTGTTTCACCTAATCCATGTACGAACAAGCAAACTATTACTTAAGAACAACTGTACCAAAATATGTGAGAATAAACAACAACATCAACTTATTCAGCAACACCCAAAACATGAGGTTATTGCACAACAACTATCACCAATCTTTGTCAATAATATACAACATACAACAATGAACAACTAAAATCGGAATACTTAGTTAGTGAAAATGAATCAATCACTATGCAATAATCTTCAACATCAAGTCCCAGACTTTAGTATAATTTATTATCATAGAAAACTAGCACTCCTAATAACAAGAGTTCATATTAATTCTACCCATTTAACAAGAATACCACCAGATATGCAATTGTTTTCAGCAAGTCAGATTCCCAAAAGCAACTAACAAGGAAGATAAACATCAAACAGATCCAAAACAATTTAGAAACCAAAAAAATGATGGTTCATATCGAAGCAAGCAACTCAGATTTAACATTGTCCATTTTGTTCCCTAAACCATGGATTGAAATCCCTAAACTGTCCATCTAATGGTCCTAAACCCTAAACCATGGGTCTAAATCGAATTATATTATAAAAAAACGGCTTATAATTAAAAGAAGTACAAACCTAACCTCTTGAAGACATTGCCGCTTGTGATTGTCGAAAATCACCGTAGTGAAGTTGGAAATGGTTCGCGGCCGTTTGAAAAAATCAAAATTACCACAATGATACACAATAATAATAGTTACAAAGTAAAAGAAGACAACAAACCTTGGGCATGGTGGTCGACGTCGTCTGGAGCTCAGGTCAAACACAATGCCAGCGCTGCTATTATCGTCGAAGAAGAGAAATGAGAATGGTTAGGGTTTCACAAAATTGGTAAGTTATAGGTGTAGTTCTTTCAAACTTCAGAGGCATTTTTGTTCTAAAATATTATTAAATAAGGTTACAAACAGAAATTTCTGCTAAAACGACATATTTGTTATTAGGCAGATATTTAAGGGCAAATCTGTCCCAAGTGACTAATATGTACAAATTTGGAACAAAAATAAGATACATCCGGTAATGTTAAAAAACCACCCCTAGACTAGGTTATCTGATTATCCCAAAGTTGACCCATAGTGTTCACTATTGGTAAATAAAAATTACCATCAACTTTTTTAACCTTCAAACCAAACGCGGGAATTTCCGAAAACAAAATATAGATAACAACATTTATCCCCAACCAACCACACCCTAAATATTAGTGTAAAATAATATAATGAAGAAAATTCATTTTTCAATGTTACATAATTTTTAGTTTTAAAAGTAGTTTTTAAATATTAATATCAAACATATCTTTAGATATAAAAAAAAAATAAATAAATAAAAAAGAGTTGAATGGAACTCAAATATATACTTTGATAAAGTACAAATGATCTTAAATTATCTTATATATCAAAATTTTGTTCTCTAAAGAGCAATGAATCTGAAGTAGAGAGAATTTTAAATTCTTAGCTTATCTGAAGAACTACAAGTTTTCTCTCAAGGATCAACAACTGATACAAGTTAAAGTTCAGAGCAAATAAACAGAACCCAAAAGTTACAAATAAAATTTGAATTTCTAAAATTTCAATGGTACATATGAAATCTAGATTGCTATCAATCTCGTACAAGTTCACAATACTCAATCTCTGTAAGACACAAATGTTGAAATATCAAAGAGTCCGGCCTCCCTGTAGCACTCGGCAATGCGTTCCACAAAGTCATCCCAATTGCCATCTACGGAAGCTAAATCCAATAGAAATGCAGCTTCATCCAAAGCAATCTGCAAATTTGAATAAGAAAAATGACAATAAGCTAATCATCATCTAACTTTCCTTAATCTCTGTGCAAATTAAGAAATAATAAAACCAGTTATTATACCTGAGCAGCTGGCTTCCCCTTGTTTAAATCTTCCTGTTTTCCCTCTTCTGTTACTTTTTCTTTGATATACTCAATTTGCTCATCCTCCCATTGTGCTATTTGAGCAACTTCCTGAACAGAAACTAACCCTTTAACTCCAAGAACTGGAGAAAGTAAAAATATAAAGATGAGAAGGCATAGAGTGTAGACAAAAGAAGAAAAACAATTATTCCCGGTGCCATACTTGGTACTTGCAACCCAGAGTCCACCATGGTAATTTTAAAGCCCCCCTGGCGGCATCTTTAGCTTCTAGATTACGTCCAACCCTATAAAATGCAGAAAAAAGGGATTCTTAAAATATAACAACACATTTGCAAGTTGAATTATGCAACATAAACTGTAAGAGATAATTATTGGATAAAATTCCTACGAACTTTAACAAAACCTGTGCATTGAAAACAAAAGGCCGTGCAAATCCTGGAAAATGATCTTTCTTTGTATAGAATTCCCCCGTCACGAGAGCTGAGACCTTCGACGATCAAGTATTAACATCAGCAATATAAACTCAGAAATTGTTAGGCCACCAATTATTATGAAATATCACAAGCAAGGCAGAGGGACGTTGGGTGTGAAAAAAGGGAAGGGGAATTAGTTAGTGGAGTGTATACGTGTCCTAAGTTGATTGGGACTTGAGTGAGAATCAATTGTGAATATAAGGGAAGAGTCTTAAGACGTGAGGGCGGTTAATTTGTCAAGGAAATAGTGATGGGAGGTCTCTAGCTCCTCAAAATGCTAGAATTCTGTTCTTCATTTATCAGTTGCTTTTCTCTTTATATGTAATTCTCTGCTTATCAATATAATTCTGGAATATTTCTTATCTGTGGAATTGTTTGAATTTTTGTGTGTGCATGTGTTGATTTCTGAAACAGTAAAGTTGAGAGGGGTTTGTATCAGAAATCCAACAGTGCTTGAAAAGAAAAGCACAAATCAGCTGAATCTTACGTGGTCTCCCTTTGCGAAATGCTGCATAACCTTTCGCTCTATTACATCTGGAAACAAGCCAACCTGAAAGTAAATTGTTTGTCATAAAAATTTATTCTGTGGCTCATTAAAGAACCATAGACTTTGGTCTGGTACCTTTCTCAAAAGATAGACGTCCGTATCGGATATCTGAGACTTAGCCAAGTCACCCTTTTTGTAAAGCTTCTCCCCAGCTTCAGTAGCAGCATCAAATAGCTTGTCACTGTCCTCTAGGGATTTCTTGGCATCTTCTTCAACCAGGATTCTGTGAATGAGTTGGTCTACCTATAAATGAGAGAGAGAATAACATAGCATATGACAATTCAAAAATATGAATTTCCAGTAAGATGCATTTGAATGGCTAAACTTCAGCCATGACATCTAGACTTTCTTTACTGACAACAGATTTAACTTACATTCTTGGCTAGTAGCCAAACTCCATGTTTATGGACCTCCACCACTGGCAATTCCATCCTGCAATTATTCAGAAGATTGGTCAAGCTAAAGAAAATTAAAAAACCTGAAGGGTCAGAAGCATATGAGTTTCATACCCAGGCAGAGCTGTTGGCCATCTCAGCAATGCAGTAACAGTACCTATATACAAGGAAATCATATAAGAGCTTTGACTTTTGCACTTCCCAAGATAGCAACAGCAAACATAGACAATAATCATCTGTACCTGAGCTACTCTTAGCCAGTGGAATTGCAAGAGGAATTAACCCTTGCTTGGCTCCAGGAGATATAATGGATTCACCTATTACAATATAATAGATAAGAAAACATTTCTACACAAATTCTTTAATCATGAAAACAATGAAGAAGAAATAAGTTAATACATATTCATGTGTCAATATTGTGGGCAAATGTTGGTCAGCAGTAGGTATCTATGCAATATTCATGAAGATAGATATATGCCAGATCCAGATTAGTGGGTTCCTGAAACCTGATTTTTAGTGAGGACACAGTAAAAAACTTTATTTCACAGCAAAATTTCATGTTATGATGCTAAGATGGAAACATGAGTTACAAGAACCAGACTGCACAGTCTCAAAGTTAATAAATGCCTCGTATTTCATGACTGTTACCACAAACAGAGGTACTGTAATTTAAGTGTTCTGAATATTGCTTGTCTTAGTTCCAATCCCCCTGTTATAATAAACTAAATAATTGCAAGCAAGACAATGAAAATAGAGGGTCCATTCGGAAACAGAACCGAACCATGTTAGAGCCTCTCAATGGAGCTAATAATAGAAGGACATATGACAAGAAAAAAATCTAGGGCTCATATTACTCTTAACATATTAATCAGTAGCATCTACGGATAAAACAACATTGAGAATGATAGAAATGATTATTGCCTATAGCAAGACATGATGTTAAATAAAAATCATTAAAAAAAATATGTACATATACACAACTTAATTGCAGTCCAACTCAAGCTTTGCACCAAGCATGGGTTAATATAATATTATTTACATAGTCCAGTAGAGACTACACTAAACCAAGATTAATGTTATTTACATATCCCGTATAATTATATACTAAACAAAGGATAATATCGCGTTTAATCTACTCCAATTCAATGCCAATCCTGCTCTATGCTAAATAACAATCCAATTCTATATTGCATTGACAATTGACAAATGTTCCTGTAACCTTACCTCTTATCTTGAGCAATTTTAACAAATGAGACAAATGTTGAGGAGGTTCCGCTGCACCCACATCCTTTACGAAACTTATATGATCTGCAATTTCAATGACTATCAAAATTATCAAATCAAATTAAGCTCAGACCAGTCTAGTTCTGCTTTTTATCTTACCCGAAAACGTAGATGAAAAGGAGCAAGCAGTTAGAGAGCTGAAAAGGAAAGGGGGCAAAGCGCTGGCGCGTGGACGCCCTTTCACCACTCCGCTGCCAATTTTCATTTCTTCGTTTAATCGCAGTACAGCTGATACTGGGTCGAGTGAAGGGTTGGCATAAACGTTATGTAGCCGTTAACATGTACAAGGAATGTGTTGTCGTAGGGAAAATAACAATTTTGTCCCTAATGTTTTGCTTAATATTATTACTCTTATAGAAATTTTTAAGGAGTGTTTGTTTGAATTTATGAAAATTAGCTTATAAGCAACAAGTACTTATAAGCTAATTTTAGCTTATACGCATTTGAAATTTTAAGCAATTACGTATTTGGTTAAAGTATTTATAAGTGATTGATAAGTAGTTGACGTGTTTGATAAAATGTGACTTATAAATACATTTTATTATAAAATGACTAAAAATAGTACTACACTAAATAAGGGTATACTATGAAATTTTAAAATTAAACAAGGATAATGTGGTAATATACTTGGTCAAACTAGCTTATAAGCAGAGTGCTTATAAGCCAGAAAAAAAAAGTACCTCCCTCCAACTTTTTTTTTTTTTTTTTTTTCACTTATAAACTCAATTTATAAGCTCAAAAAAGTTATAAACAAACATGTCAGCTTAATTTTAGAGCTTATATGTTAGTTTGACCAGCTTATAAGTCTAGACAAACACCCCCTAGAGAGTGTTTATCTGAGCTTATGAAAAGTGCTTATTTTAGTTTATAAGCATTTGAAATTTTAAGTAATGTAGTTGCGTGTTTGGTAAAATGTGACTTATAAATACATTTTAATATAAAATGACTAAAAAGGGTATTACATTAAACAATGGTATACTATGGAATTTTAAAATTAAACAAGGATAATGTGGTAATATACTTGATCAAATTAGCTTATAAGCAGAAAAGGGTATACTATAATCTAAAAGGTGTTTGATTTTTAAAAAGTTATTATACAACAAGCTAATTATGAAATATATTTTGTTAAATTAATCCAAAAGTAGATTTTTTGAAACTTTTTGTAGCTTTTATCCTTTTTTAAAATTCAAAAGTTGTTGTGATATGGTTAATTACCAAAAAAAAAAAAAAAATTTACTTAAATTAATAATATAATAAAAAAATCAAGAATAATGTACAACTGACTAGATATTGTCACCGGAGGCGCGTTCCATAACACCACTCGCTTAATTGGATGGATCGTTGAATAATGAAATTTAAATTGAAAATATTTTTAATGTTTTTAATTAATATTATGATATTATGATTTTTGCATATATTGTTGTAAGTTTCAAATATTATTTAAAGGTTTTATGTGTATAATTGTAAGCATCAAAATCAATATTCCAAGTTCTCTAGTGTCAAGTTATACATTATGATGTATATTTTCCAGGTTTTAAATCCAATTTATAGGCATTAATCAATGTAAAAGATTTCAAAACTGATGTTAAAAGTTACAAAAAAAAAAAAAGTTTTTGTATCAAGTCATTTAAATTTCAAGTTATATGTTATTGGTTTCACATTTTATATTTATATATTTCACATATATAATCCTAGTTTTCAAGTACTTTTTATAGTTTACGTTCACCTTACAAATTTCAAGTATAACGTTGTCAATTTCAAACATAACATTATTAGTATCAAGTCCCTCAAATTTCAACTACAACGTTTGTTATTATGAGTTTCATGTATATTATTATAGGTTTCAAGTACTATTTATAGGTATTAAATAAATGTAAAAGGTTTCAAGTATGATGTTATAAATTTAAAAAAAATATGTTTTTGGTATCAAATCATTTAGATATCAAGTTATTGTTAGAAAATTTCCTAATTGTGGACTAAAATTAATTATGTTTTGGTTTGAAAAAATCGGCTAAATATGTGGTCCAAATGAGATATCCAAATGGATTTCATGTGATCGTTCCAAGATTGTCCAATATACTTCATTATAATAATCTGGATAGACAACTAGGGTGGGCTTGAGCTTTTAATGGGCTTCAGGTTTTATCAAGCTTTTAATGAGAGGGCCCAATTAACCAATATTTAAATTGGTTAGGTCCTCTTTGCACATACATTAGAACAACTTAACCCATTGTAAGTTGTCCGTTAGTGTGCGTTATTGGAAATAAATACCTACGCTATATGTCTGCTTCTTCTATAAGAAATTCAAAAATCATAATCATGGCATAAACAGGTTTTTCTATAACCTTTAATTATTGATTTTATATTCTATAATCTATATGTTGATCTTTTGATATATTGTTGATTGTGACTTAATTCTTTTTTTATTGATTGAGTAAATGTTGATAAAATTCATGTATAATTTTCTTACAGTTATATGTTATTGGTTTCACATTTTATACTATGGATTTTACATATATTATTATCCTAGTTTTCAAGTACTATTATAGTTTTCAAATTCTTATTAAAAGTTTTTAAGCATTGCATTGTCAATTTCAAACATGACATCATTTGTATCAAATCCCTCAAATTTCAATTGCAATGTTAGTAATTTCAAGTTTTATGTTATAATTTCAGATGCAACTTTTTTTTTTTTTTTTTGGTCAGTATAAAGTACTATTTATAGGTCTCAAATCTATATAAAGGGTTTTTTAGTGTGGTCTTATTAGTTTCAAATCTAATGTTATGGTATCAAGTCAATTTGGTTTCAAGTTCAATGTTGATAGTTATGGGGTTTATATTATAATTTTCAAGTTTATATATATGTTTCAATCTCATGTTAAATGTTTTTAATATATTAGTATTGGTATTAGATTTTATTAGTTTCAAATATGTACAATGTTATTTGTTTCATGTTTTACCTATCACATTTCAATTAAATTGTTTCAAGTTTCAAGCCTATTTTCTAAATGCCCTCGCAAATTTCTTTTTGCACCAATTTCCATATATTCTAAAACTGATCATTTTCAACTCTTGCACAATGAGTTATAGGCTCAATAAGTATATTAATAATACTATTTACTTTATTATTGATTCCTAATTATAGTATATAAAGAGAGACTCGTTCTCTAGTAAGGACAACTTGATATAAATTTTGTCAGGATCATATATATTCACTGTTGGATTCATTACATTGGACTAAAATGATATTTTATAACTTAGATCTAATGGTATATATGTACAGTCCTGATAAATTTATACTAGGATGTACTTACTAAAGAATTAAATATATATAATTGTTTAACTTAAAATTATATATAAATAGTTGTTAATAAAAATTATACATATTTTATTACATGTCAACTGTCTCATATGAATGTGATGACATAGAATATAAATATGATTACACAATTTGTCGTTTAGATGCCACTTATTGAAGTTAAATATATAGTTTTTGAAAATCAATTAACTTGATCCAATTTGGATACTATAATTTTCAAGTTAAAAAAATGGCTTTATTGAAGTTAAATACATGGCTTTATTGGAATTTTATAATTTTAAAGAAATTTATTGTTTTTTTATAAACTTTTACTTTTAAAATTTTCATGCCTTTAAAATCTAATGATGTGTGGTAAATTCGATTACATTGACGTAAATATAATAACCAAAATTGATATGTTTTAATATGAAAATATTTTTATAATAATTATTTATTATCCTTAATTTAATTAAATAATAATTAAGTACTATAAATGAATTTACATATTTATGAGGTTAGTTCACAATTGTCACTAATTCAATTCTACTTCTATGATGCATATCTCAATTCATGACCCATGTGATATAAATGTTGGAAAGGTTGCAAGTTTTATATTAGAATGTTAGTTGAAATAGTATTCCACCGTTATATAATTTTTTTAGAAACCAAATGGCTTCTCTTTTCAGTGTATATTATGCTAAGCATATTAATCAATTAATTAAAAAATATATATTTTTATTAAATAAATGTGGTAATTTTGTATTTATGTAAGAGAACAAAAATTTGAACGTAACGTAACGGAGTCCCTATCTACCTCATCACTTTCTAAATTAAACCTGTGTTGTCAGAATATACACTTAAAGAAATGAAGCCAAAACAGTAGGTTCGTTAGAATAATTAAACAAGCTAAGGGTGAAGGTAACGAATCAATTTTAATAGAATATATCTTAAGATACGACAAGATATTTAATTAAATTAATTAGAATATCTTAAGATGCATATGATAATAAAATAAGATATATATATAATGTTTTAAAATACCATTTTCTCACTCAAAGTTTTTATTTCGTTGACTACTTACAGTACATTTTCTGATTCAGTAGTCAACAAAGAGTAAATTTGGTCTAAGTTATTGAGGATTTTAAAGATAGGATGTCATTGAGTCTTTTGATGGTCGAGATTGATCGAAATTTGATTTGGGAGGGACAACTATATGTTTCACAAATCGCTCGATTATCGACGATTGACGAGGTTGTTAGGAGCAAAATTTGAGAAGTTTTGGTAAGTAATAATTGAGAAAGAGAATGGTTTTAGTTTGGGGTTATAAAAATATCGAAATCGATTGACAATTGGTTAGAATATAAATTTTGAATGGGACTATGATATTTTAAAATTTTTTGGGTGAATAGAGAAGTGATTAAGGCAAACCTTGGTGGGAAAAAGTCGTTTACTCTATATATCTTTGCCGTCTGCTCAGTTGTTTTTGTCTTTCAATGACAGGAGGATCCAAGTCATATGGTACACGTGCCAAGAATACAAATTAATTAACGCTAGTACCAATAAACTATTCTTTCATTAATGGTCTGAAATTACTAAGAGAGGAAGGTGGATCTTATACAACTCTGGTTCTGGTTAGTCCCAATAGATAAATGTTTCTATGATAAATATAAAAAATGACATATAAAGATAAATTTTATTGTTAAAATAAGAAAAAAAAAAAAGAGATAATCATAAAGATTAAGAGCATGATTTATCTTTATAAGGCTAATATTTTTTATTCCAATAACATCTCTTCGCTGCATTTGTCTCCATCATCGAAATTTTCTTCCTTTAGTTTTCTAATTTTCAAGATTATAATAAAGATCGATTATTCATGATATGCATTTTAATTTAATTTATATTTCGATTATTACCCCTGA